AGCTTATTTCTTCATCCAAGATGTTCGAATGACACCAAGATTCAGTGATGACAATTACAGGGGGTTTGTATATTACTGTGAGTGCTCTGAGCATCGGCAATTTATTTAGAACAGATCTAGCATTTATGAGGATTAGGTAAAGATGAGAGTTGAAGTAGCATTTGAAGTATTTAAGTTCGTTAGTCAGCCCCGAATATGGTTCAGCACCCAGTAGTTCTGCTTGACATGATGATCCTATGTTAAGAGGAGTTTCAGCATCATGCTCACCTATGTCTACCGAGTTGGTGTGTGCTGTTTTCGGTGAAGAATTAAGATTTGGAGTACTGGATTTGCTATAGACCGAGGAATTTTTATTTTTAGTTAGGTTACAGAAGTGGGTAGGGTTCTTTATTTGACCTATATTTGTGCAGGTGTCAAGTGTGCCTAATGGATACGGGTGCACTAGACCGTTCCTGTTTTCATGCAAGGAGGGAGCCAGCTCTAGTGGTTTAGGAGTGTTAACATCCCTACCAGCTGTTTTTTCAACGCTGACAGGGACGCGGGGGATAAAAAATGATTGGATCCTTTGATGACCATGGCTTATTATTCCACCTATTGTTTGATGCTAGTTGTGTCCTTGTGTGGGTTTCATGTGTACTGCATTGTGGGTTAGTTCCCAGCAGACTTGTACCATATATCCGGTCAAAATTTGTTTGTGTGCCATACTCTGAAGACCCTGAGTTGTTGATAGCCGAGTTCTGACTATTACCACTTGTACTATTGAGGGTGACATTGTTGTGACATTGGATATCAGTGTGTGCCATGGTGCGATTTAGCACGTTGTGGGTGCTAGTACTATTGACCGTGGGAAGTGTGGGTTTATTTAAGCTGCCACTGTTTTTGTTTGTATGGTTTAGGGGCATATTTTCCTTACCTTTAGCAATGAAGTTATGGCTAGGAGAAGACAAAGTGGAATTTCGGGGGGTTTTGGCTTTTTTTCTGGGGTTATTTAATGGCATTTTAGATTCTGCGGTGATAGGTGGTATGGTTTTGTTATTTATTTGGTTACAGTCTAGTGGCCTTTCGGCTGGTGTTGCACTCTGATGGGATATTTCTGTGTGTTTTGAGAGGGGTGATGCGGTGGGGTCTACTGTATCTTTCACAGGGTTGGGAATAATGGCTGCTTGCAAAGTCCTATTACCTATTTCACAATTAGTCTTAGCAAGATAGTTGTATGCGCGCCTTTCTATGACTGTTTTGTCCACCCCGACCTTTATATGTTTGTAGTTTCTGGCTTGCGATAGGGTGTGTTGGGAGTGAATGAATTTTCTGGTCTCTGCCGGTGTTTCGAACTGAAAACGAATAGGACAACACTTCTCATGTTGACTCTTCTTCAGCCTATAGCACTTAGTCTTGGAGTTAGGCATTTTCGCTTCACTAAGTAAGATGCGCTGTACCTTTTTTAGTGCCTCATTGTCCGGAACGTTGTAGACAATAGCACTCAGTTTTGCGTCGAGTCGTTTTGTTACTTCTGTGGTAACAAAATTAATGAGGTTATCTACCTTAGTTACCGATTCTGTGTCAAGCTTGTTAAGGTTTACAGTTTTCATGAGGATAGTTAGAGGTGTCAATTCACAGACCTGCGATCTGATATCGCTGATCTGATCTGATAATTTGGATATCTCGGCATCGGTTTCGATGTTTCCAGCATTTACTGACTTGCTGTTTTTTATTTCCCTTAACTCAGCCTTAAGTTCACCTATAGACAACTTTAGAAGTTCTATTTCTGAAGATAGTACTGAAGAAGAGCTTGATGGCTGGAGTTTTTCGATAAGCACATAAGGTGAAGGGAGGGGTTCTGTATGAGCAGAGGGTACTGAATTTTTAGGAGTAGTGCTAATACTAGCTGTCAGTACAGTTTTATCCTCAGTTCCAGCTCGACGCTTACGGCATACAAGTGAGTTATGTGACTCATTATAGCCGTTTGTAGGGGGTGTGTTGCTTGATGTAGCAATCAAGGACGTTAAATTAGACACCAGTTTTACAGGGGATGGGTTCGTTGCTTTTTACTTTGACTAACCATAACTATTAGAAATGGAAGTTAGTGGTTACAAGTATGGAGGTAGTATAGTACTTGTGCAAGTACTACAACAAGATAAATTTTATGTAACGAATCACGTAAAAATGTAACGCAAACGTTGAACGTACCGCGATACAGAGATGCACTGACGATCTCACACGTATCCATGCCTTCTGCAACTGCATCTGCCTTTGGGTCTACTTCACGTTCAAGTTGTACAGAAACTTTGTTCAACTTAGCAGTAGTAGGCATATCCCTCATCTCATCCTGATCAACCAAAGACAAATGTGCACTATCATGATCATTATCACGAATATTCACTTTACCGTCAATTTCATCATTTTCAAACTCTTCAGTAACAGGATTAGACAATTTTGGTTCCTCCTCACAAATCATTCAAGGTTTTATATCTTCACTCTGACTACTAATACCTTGTAAACTTGTAGGGTCAGAACTGCACTCTGAAGCAGCAACTCTATTCTGTGACACTCTATTCAACAACTGTTGAGACATTATTAACTTGTAGACAATTTAAGATTTGACATTATATCATCCTTGATCGTGCCTGTAAAAATGGCATGCATTTTCATGTAAATTTATGTTTATATGAAAATAAATTATTATTATTATTATTATTATAATGGCTTACTAGTTGCAACTACAGACTTCTTCACCGCACCGTTATCGTCACACAATTCGGAGTCAGGCCTGGAGTTCACATTTAGCTTATCACTGAACTTGCTTACTGGTTCACAGTTCACCTTTGTATGCACCTCTTGCAAACGTGTAAAACACAACCGTGTTTGTCTTGCATCTTGCAACTTATCTGTTGATGAGGTACTACGAAACCTGTTACACTCACTAGGTTTATATGCATTACTAGACATCATGGAGCCTTCCCGATATCCACCTCTCTGAGGCCTATTCGTCAACAATGAGTGCGTTTTACCCTCAGACTGCTCCATTCTAGGGGTGAGATTCAATATACTGGCAAACTTGCTCATCGATTGATTGACACTATCTTTTACTAGTTTCAGGATATCATCAAACTTTGGCTCGATACATTCATCCTCCATACGGGAGCTTATCTTCACCCACTTCCTTTGCAGTCGAGTAGGTAGGCGTCTCGCTATTACTTCTAGTATAAAACTCGAGTTGAGGTCGCTCATGCAATTTATCGAGATCAATGCATTCTTGTAAGTCAAGAGAGTATCCGAAAACTCAGTGAGTTCCTTGGAGTCATCTTGAAGTTGACTGCCGTTACCTTTGACGGCTTCGTATACGTTCCTTACAATCATTGAAGATCTTCCGAATCTTTTGACGCAGGATACGCATCGCCTCAGTATATCCTTCATTTGGGGGCATATCCTTACAGCACTGTATAGCTCTTGAAGCAACTCCAGTGCAATACCTCATCAAATACATCAATTTCATTTCATCATTTAATAAAAAACTACTGAGTATGGTTTCAAGCTCCTTTAAAAACTGTGGATAGTCAGCTGGATTTCCGTCGAAACACCGTGGTTCAAATTTAGGGATTTTGATATTCCTATCATCCCTAAACGGCGAAACAGTGACATCAAGCATATCATGCTTAACATCAGACACATCGTTACAAGTACCAGACAAGTCAACATGGCTTACTTTCCTGTTTGCTTCCAAGACGCTCTATCCCCTCTTTGACCCAGGCATCATTGATCCTAACGAAAATTGCAGAAAATTTCCAGATAACGCTTTTGCAAGGGACACTTGGCCGGCACCAGGAAAGACGGACGGAGACTATCCAAAAGTCAGAAACTGTCACCAACCGTCAGAATCTGTCAATCACGTCTCAAAAACCGTTAATGCCCAGCTCTTGCTACTCCGGGCCTCTCGCTGTCCCTCGAAGCCTTTCAGAAACGCTTGGTACTAACGGGCGCAAAAACCAAAACACCGATTGGTGACTCGAGAATTCTTTATTCTAACACCAACATATGAGCAGTATAATAAATAAGGTCTGGACAAATATTACAATAATAAATCACGATATTACTTCTGACGGGTTTTTACGTGCTTTCTGAGCACTGACCGATGAGACGATGACTGGTGTATCGATGACTCAGCGAGAATAAAGCGGAAGTTGGGTTTGAGCAAACAACCATGAACTGATCGTTCAATCTTCACCTACACTGACAGCAATTTTTTCTCTTATTCAAAGTTATAAGAAAGCACTGTAACGGTAACTCTTCCATAAAGTGGGCTAATCCTAAATCTTACGGACTACGCAACGATGACTATCTTCTCAAGGTTAACACCCGTAAACTCACCCCTACAGCTAACTTCTTCACTGTTTAATTTTGCAAACTTTGGAACCAACTACCCTCTGAGATTAGATCCTGTGAAATGCCTGACAGTTTCAAAACGAACCTAGAAAAACATATTAACATGTCCACCCTAACCTGTCTAAAAGATGTCAAATGCTGGTAGAGTGGTGAAACAATGGCATTTCAATATTTAACTGCAGAAAGTACACTAGTTCCTAGACAGACTAACATAATGATACTTAGTAATTATACATGTTCAATTCTTGAAATTAGATTGTCATTAAAATACATAAAATGATTAAAATATTTACGCAGCAAATGTCCTCTTGCCTTACGACGCTTGTTCCCCTTATAACACTCAGTTGTTGAGCCTAATGTATTCCTTGATAATACGAATTATAACATTGATCATACTCTTATCATATATAGTCTGATTTACTTTACGGTTCCCTGTAGACCAACTATCCTTCTTCAGTATACATACACAGCAGTATTGTTAACCAAATGCTAAAATTTTGTTGGTTCGGCGTTAATATCTTTTTATACTTTTAGACAGGTTACTTTGCAACGTCAAATGTTTACTTTATATATGACTGTCATGATAGTTTAGTACACTAAGTCCTGCCAACCGACCTTACCTTAAGTTCATACTACCTACAATGAACCCTAACTATAGTGTTCTGCTAAATCTTGCTCCCCTATTCACAACACCTATTCGTTTCACTCTTTAAGGTTTTAACTTCTTATAAAGTAATCTGTTCATCAGGATGCATGCACACATATATAATATGTTCGTAAAGATGTACGTGGAGACCTATTGGAAGCACTCATTAAGAAAGATAGGGAAATGGAATATGAGGTACGAACATGTCTGGTACCAAGCAATACATTTGCGGTAGCCATAATAATCATAGTCTCAGAGCCTAACATCATAAAAGCAAGGAGGGTGGCGCTAGCTGATCAGTAGATATGGTGGTGGTCACTAAGGTGAATCGCCCCATTCTGCAGGAACAGCAAAACACAAATTAAAGGCTCGAGATATTTCTGAGTTTTATGAGGGCTTAGATCTTTATCTTGGAAAAGATAATAATGATGATCACCTAGACAGATCATGCTTCTGCCTTTAAATATATACCATTCGCTCAGCCTATTGTTCAGATGCGACCATGTAGGCTCTGCACAGATTTATGGGGCATCTTATAAACTAACTTGCTGTCCATTGTCGGATCTTAAAATACCACTTCACAATGTCTTATCTCATTTATTTTCTAATAACGTCTTTACTTGATCCTCATTATACTCCATTAAACCTAACATTTTATAGCTCTTTATGAATTTGATTCGACTTATTCTATTCCTATTCTCTGTAGGGTACGGTTGTGCACCAAATGCACAAAAAGGCATAAAATATAAAAATACAGGCATAAGGCAAAAATGTATTAAAACCAAAAGTGGACATCATGATAGTGCAAACTGTACAGGAAGCATTATACATTGCAAATGAACGTTGTCAGCCTAGGGAGTTTCCTTTATTAATGCATTTATTAGTGATACTTGGACTTACCCATTTCATTACACTTTATTGATTCACCTTAGCACCTTTAATTTTTTAAACAGCTTTCAATCCCTTGTAAACGTTGTACTTACCTCAATATTGGCTGGTTATTGTATGCCTACAACCACGGGATGAAAACGGAACGAAGTAGGTTTTCCCGCTCAACCTGGAGGATAACTGTACAATTCACTGACTATACGGCCTGGTTCAGACAATGAGTGTATTTATATATGTGTATCAAATATATATCTGTTTAAACATTATTAACTTGTAGACAATCTACGATTTGAGATCATATCATACTTGATCATGCCTGTAAAAATGGCATACATTTTCAAGTAAATTTATATGTTTATATGAAAATATACACTATTATTATTCAAGTAGAGAACGGATAAAGAACTTCATCTGGAAAGAAAACAGTCATGCTTAACAAGTTCAAACAGTATTCATTAAGTATCATCGGGAAGGGAAGAAAGAAGGAAATTGCGACACATGTATTGGCACGCGATAAGTTTCATTGATTGTTTGTTGCTTCATTCGATTCATCGTGTGAGGGCCGAAATACTGCCCGGGCGCCAAGACCGAAGCAGGTGGTTTTATTAAGGGACCACCCCCGGAGACTTTGACTTGGACTCTAATCCGCAAGGCAGCAGAGCAGCGTCAGGAGCTGCATTCCCATGGTTTCCAGTGACCCATATGGGTTCATACGCCATTTGATTCGATTGAATACTGGAGCCCATGTACCCCATGGTAACTGCTTTTAGTTTATTCGGTATCCAAACAACCTTCCTGAAATTGTAGGACCTGCAGGCACAGAGTCCCAGTTAGTTTAGCATGTTGGGTCATTACGGTATTCAAGCCCGACCACCACGACAAGGTAGCAGCTATCGGCCGGGATATCTACCTCACCATTCGTGCACATGAATCAGCAGCCTAACGGCAGAGTAAATCTCCAGCATACTGATCAGTCTGTCTCACCTGCTGCTGAAGCTGGCCTAGAAGCTATCCAGAAGATCTGCGTATTTCAGACATGCACATGTGGCTCACCTTACAACTATCCAGATTAACCAGCTGTATGAGTGCATCTGGCTCCTAATCTACTAGCGTTCAGTTGTCAGCACCACCCAGTTTTTATTTTATATAAAAGCATCACGTGATCAAAAAGGGCAATGAGTTTGGAGTTCGTCTCTCATGGTTAAACTTGTGTTTCTTTTTATCACAGCTAACAGTTCTGTTCAACAGTACCTACACCAAATCTAAAAATTATTTCCTTCCTTTAAATATGGGTTAGGAAATAAATTCCTGCTAAATACACCCATGTTCACATGCTGTCTAGTAGAACATTTTCACTGATTGAAAATATGTCCATCTTCCTATAATTACCGCTTATATCTCAAGGATGTTTTGCAAACTTGGATGTTGCGGAATTGCGTAAACCTGTTGTAGTGGTATATAATTCCCCAAAATTATTGACCTCAGCAATCAATCATTGGATGCTGGCCGCCACTGTTTAGGTCGACTTGTTTAGCTGAAGGCTTCCGGTCAAGCATCCCCGCCATTTGGTACCCCGTCTTGACACGTGCACGATCACTAGCCAGCTAAGCGTTCGTCTGACGGCTTGTTTTGGTCCCGAAATATATCACGTAGTTTGGACGATCAAATATTGGCTTTTGCTTTGTTATTGGTACGCGAGAATTAATAAGTTAGAAGTTGCTGTACAAGAGATTCGGTCAACCTCTAAACTGATGAGCCCAACTGCGAACTTCGTCCACGATAAATCCGCAGATAACCCCGGTGAGTTCGTTCCATTTTGTATTTGTTCTTGTACCATATATTATTCGACATAATTTTCGTCATGAGTGATCTTAGTCCCAAGGTCATTCGTATCCGCTCAACCCCTAAAACCATTCAGCTTGTACCATACTGGCCAGATAATGCTGAAACGTGGTTTCGGATAGCTGAAGCAGATTTTTGTGAGCATGGGATAACCGATCACCATTCACAGTTACTTGCAGTTGTCCACGCCCTACCGCGGGAATTCAGCAAGTACGTAACTTCACAGATGTTGAGTCCCGAGGTAAGTAACTCGTACGAGTTGCTCAAAGCATCCCTCCTCAGGAGAAACGTTCTCACGGACCGACAACGTCTAGATGAATTATTTCGTAACATCGAGTTAGGAGATCAGTAAGCCGTGAGCATGCTGACAATAATGAGAGAAGTTATTGGCCGAAGTCATTTCGACGAAGGACTATTTGGAGAACTCTTCTTATCCAAGCTGCCTCAGTCTGTACAGACCGTACTTGTGACACTTCAGGGTCTTGTAACAGATGACTTAGGTATTTCTGCTGATAAGGTTCTAGAAATAACTAGACGGTCAGTTCCCGAAATATGCTCGATGACTAAGCATACTTCGAGTAAGGATCCTGCAATGATAGAGTTATGCAACTCCATCCAGCAGACGTTTAGGTCGAACAAACATTCTAACTCCTCCGACCGTCGTCCTAAATCTCCTCAACGCAGAAACTCACGTGGTCGATCTAAGTCCAAACCACGTTCTCTGAAAAACCCTGACTGGTGATTGTACCACAACACCTATGGCCAAGAAGCGAAGTGTTGCTGTAAGCCTTGTAAATTCGGTAATGTCTCAATGTCTGTGGGAAACTATCCCGCCGGCACGCGTTAGCGGCAACCGTCACCGGTGGCACTAGCCGCCTTCTTTACATCCATGATGTGATAAGCCAGACTCGATATTTAGTCGACACAGGCGCCGAAGTCAGCGTCCTTCCTGCTACAGCAGCAGATCGACAGAAGGAACCTACCTTCAACTTACAGGCTGCAAATGGAAAACCAATCGCAACCTTTGGTAGGAAATACGTCAATCTGAACGTAGGTTTACGCAAACCTATTCGATGGATTTTCCTTCTTGCTGATGTCACAATGCCCATCATTGGCACGGACCTACTTAATCATCATGATTTACTCGTAGACGTCCGCCGAAAACGACTAATTGACAATACTACTACTACTACTACTAATAATAATAATAATTTATTTTCATATAAACATAAATTTACATGAAAATGCATGCCATTTTTACAGGCACGATCAAGGATGATATAATGTCAAATCTTAAATTGTCTACAAGTTAATAATGTTTCAACAGTTTAATATTTGATATATATATATAATTACACTGATTGTCTGAACCAGGCCGTATAGTTATTGAATTGTACACTTGTCCTCCAGGTTGAGCGGGAAAATCGACTTCGTTTCGTTTTCATCCCGTGGTTGTAGGCATACGATAACCAACCAATATTGAGGTAAGTACAACGTTTACAAGGAATTGGAAGCTGTTTTAGAAAAACTAAAGTGCTGAGGTGAAACATTAAAGTGTAATAGATTAAGTGAGTGAAATATATCATTAATAAACACATTTATATAGGAAACAGAATGGGGAAGTAATTAATCCTTAGGCCGACAACGTTCATTTGCAATGTATAATGAAACCAATATATTTTATATTATCATGATGTCCACTTTTGGCTTTAATACAATTATTTTCAAGCCAGTTGTTTTTATTTCATGTCTTTTTTTCTATTTGGTGCACAACCGTACCCTCCAGAGAATAGGAATAGAACAAGTCGAATCAAATTCACAAAGAGCTATAAAATGTTAGGTTTAATGGAATATAATGAGAATCAAGTAAAGACGTTATTAGAAAATAAGTGAGACAAGATATTGTGAAGTGGTATTTAAAGATCCGACAATGGATAGCAAGTTAATTTATAAGATGCCCCATAAATCTGTGCAGATCCCACGTGGTCGCATCTCAACAATAGGCTGAGCGAATGGTATATATTTAAAGGCAGAAGCATGATCTGTCTAGGTGATCATTATTATCTTTTCCAAGATAAAGATCTAAGCCCTCATAAAAATCAGAAATATCTCGAGCCTTTAATTTGTGTTTTGCTGTTCCTGCAGAATGGGGCGATTCACCTTAGTGACCACCACCATATCTACTGATCAGCTAGCGCCACCCTCCTTGCTTTTATGATGTTAGGCTCTGAGACTATGATTATTATGGCTACCGC